AAATACTATGAAATACACTCATTGGTGGAAATGTTTCAGTTTCTGAGAGCAGAGCAACCAAAAATCATTCAAATCAAAGTTGAAGAATGGTAAGGCTGAGCTGTTCTGTCTTTGATCAAAAGATACAGGAAAGATTTTGCTGCTAGTTGGGTTTAAACTGATTTTGGAGACAACTCTCAAAAAGCCTAACAATTTAACAATGCTTATTTGGATATATATGAAGATGAAAAATTTTAAAACTTTTTTTTAATGGAGTAAGAGTTAATTCTCAGAAAGATTCACCCAGATTAGGCCAAATTTTAAACAAAGTTACCATTTACTTCATCGGGCAGTTTATTAGGCACTCTACTTTAATCCTCCTATCTGATTCTTGCCCCCAGTTTGCAGATGAGGAAACTGAGGGTACAAGAGGCTAGGGCTACATACTGAGTAAGCGGCAGAGCCAGGATTCACGTGAAGGTCTATTTGATCACAAGAGCTAGGTTTTTAATCTAAGCCATGCATTAAGCGAAGAAGTAAATGTTGACATTTAGAAATAATGCATTGCACCCTCCTGTAGAAAGGTACAAGACTACATAGGGTCTGATACTACCAACTGGGGCAAATAAATATTTAAGTATTTAAAAAAATAGGATTTGGATGCCAATGATGTGGTAGCAGGGAAACTAGACAATTTATGACAAAGGAATAAGGAGAAACATGATCATCTACTGAAAGTTTGTTTTATGCCAGATACTGTATTAGATGTTTTACTGTTAATATTTCCTTTAATCCTAAGAATCCTGTAAAATGGGTAATAAGAGTCAAGAAAACACAGATGTAGAATAACTGATGTTTGGCTACCACAATGTTCCTTTCCTCCTTCCTAAGGATGTGACCTCCCACATTTTAGTGGGGCACAAGGTTTTCAGGAATAAGAACAATATTCTCCAGTCTCTATTCCAGCTAGGTGAGGTCACATTACTAAGTTCTGGCCAGTGAGATGGAACAAGGATAGTATGATGGCCCCTGGGAAATTTCTGTAAGAGACCATGATCTCTTGCCTTTCCCCTTTTTTCCTACCTTCCTTCTTTCCTCCTTTCTACTACTTGGAACCCACATGTGATGGCTGAGGCTCCATCTAGGACCATGAGGTTGAGGGCCTCTTCTGATGTGTGGTAGATCTATAAGGTGGAACCAGCCTAGGTCTCAGAAGACTGTAATACCATTATACCAGCCCTGGATTGTCTCTTTATAAACTTTTTTTTTTAGTGTGAAAGAGAAACAAACATCACTTTGTTTAAACCACTGTTTTTGCCGTCTCTGTGACTGGTAGCTAATCTTAACTAATACAGCAACTGGTTCATCAGGCCCTTCTGCAAAGTCCACACTCTCAGGTAGAAGCTGAAAAACTCCTGTTTATAATTTGCAAAAGACTGGGGGAGGAGGGGAGTGAAAAAGGCTGAAAAGGAATTTGACAGAAGAAAAGAAGGTTTAAATTATGCTCTCAAATCTGCACACCTGAGAAAAGATCAAAAGGAATATGCTACTCAACAATAAAGAATTTAGTCTCCATCAGAGATGGGCGGGGGCAGAGCTCAGTCACCTGCACAGAGCTGGAAATAGAAGAGAAATAGAAGCAGGACAGCTGGTAGTTTCTGAGAAAGATGCTGTTGGCTAAGGAGTAAGCACTGGAGAATGGAGCCCTGGAAATGGCCATAGGATGAGACAGACAAGAACAAAGAATTACAAGGAACTCTGAAATTGAAGAAGCAGGAGATGAAGCTCAAAGATACACGGTCTGGAAAGGGACAAGCAGAATCATGTGACCCATATCAAGGACAGCATAAAGGTCAAAAAGGCAAAAGGAAAGGTCAAGAACGAAGCTCTAACAACTCATTTTTAATTCATTTCCTTTACACAGGTTCACAACAGCATTGAAGAAGTGAATTTAAATTGTGTTGCAATGGAGTAGAATCCTAAATGAGAGGAAGTCACAGAACAGGGAGTTTATTATTACCCTTTGCTCAATTTCTAAATGAACAGCAGTGATAAGAACTTAGCAGAGAGATTCAGTGACTGCAGTTAGGCCTCATTTTATTTAAGATCAATCTTCATGATTCAGAAAAGGAAAAATAATTTATGTCTGCCAAAGACGCTATTTTAAACATCAGAGAAAAAACTAACTCACAATAAAGGTATGTAGGAAGTGTAGAAAATATAGATGGGAAATAAAATGAAAGTAAGTGATAGCAATAAAAGAAAAGACAGGAATATCAAAACACACACGACAGAGATGAGAATGCATTTTACAACTGGTTAAAAAAAAATTCTGCACTATAACTGGACCTCCCAGATTCCTTTTGAGTGGTCACAGGTCTGAATTGTTTGTGGAACATCCAGTATTCTCTTAGTCGGGGAAACAGGGAAGGACATGCTACGTGGAAGGCAAAGCAAACCATTCCACCAAGTCTGGAGTAACACGACAGCTTTAGCATACATTCATTTCTGATATTATCAGTGTACGCTAGAAGGGGGATGGAAAGGAAAAACAAAAATAAAATTTGGAAATTCAACTTGAGAGACACCAAGTGTAAATCGAGGATTAAATACGCTATTTTTTGTATGGGCAGTAAAAAAATTAGGAAAGCCCATAAAAATACCCAGATACCATTAAAAATGATTTGAAAAAAAAAATTTCAGTTGTTTACAAATAAAAACATTGGCTAAAGCAAGAATCTTTTAAATATTAAAGTATTTGCCTGTTTCAACTTCAACAAAACAACAAAAACATCACAAACTTCAGGCCACTGAAGGAAAATACCCACACAGTCTTAAAAATAATTGGAGTGATAATGGAATGTTATTCAGTGCTAAAAAGAAGATATCAAGCCATGAAAAGACCTGGAGGAAACATAAATGCCTAATACTAAGTGTAAGAAGCCAATCTGAAAAGGCTACAGAGTGTATGATTCCAACTATGATTGTCTGGAAAAGTCAAAACTATGGAGACCATAAAAGGATTAGTTGTTGTTAGTAGGGGAGGGAGGGATAAAAAGGTGGAGCACAGAGGATTTTTAGGGCACTGATACTGTGATATAGTATCACAGTCTGTTATTACAGTGATAGATACATGTTACTACATATTTGTACATCACCAAGAGTGAACCCTAATGTAAACTATGGACTTTGGGTGATAATGATGTGTCAGTCAGTGTAGGCTCACTGATTATAATGAATGTTCCACTCTGGTGGGGGATGTTGATAATGGGGCAGGCTATACACGGGTGCGGAGGGGGATGGGAGCTTAAGGGAAACCTCTGCACTTTACTTTCAATTTTGCTATGAACCTAAAATTGCTCTAAAAAAATGAAGTCTATTAAAAAAACAAACAAACTTGGTGGGTCTGGTATCTTCTTCAAGTTGTATTGATTAGGGTCCTTTTCATTTTAATTAATGTTGGTGCTTCCATTCTGAGGATTCTGAAGAATGAAACAGCAATGGGTAATGGTCTTAGAAAAGCAAATCTTAACAAGCAGTCAAATGAAGTCACTCCAAATGTGAAAATATACATGTTAGGCTGGACATGTTGGAACACCTTTCCAGTCGAAGAAAAACAGAACAAGTTTTGAAGAATAGTAAATTTAATTCTAACATGTAAGGTTTTTATTTTTTGCTATAATAAAAACATTTTAGGGGGATAGTAGGTATAAGAAAAAGTACCATGACTCAACGGTACAATCAGTGACAACTTTGCCTCCTTCGTTACCTGAACTAAAAGCAGTATCAGACATGTTAAGGCTTATATTCTTAAATCACACAGGCCCAATTACTCTGGGGATTAGCTGTCATTTTACATTCTCTTCAAGAGTGGAGCTCGGACTAGGAAAGCCAGGGACAAAAGAAAGTCACCTTGGCACCCACAACTCAAAGGAGCATTTTGCGTTCTCAGGAAGTGCAACCTGAACACACTGAGGGCATTGGAATTGTTAAATAATTATACTGCATTTTGACCACTTCTGTGCGCTTCAACCCTACACTTAGGTTTAAGAGACAGAACAGCCTGACAAAGACACATGCCATTTAATTTTCTCCTAGAAAGCAGGGAACAAATGGACTATTTCAAATTGGCAACATATTTGCAATTTAAAAATTTCAGGCTGCTATCTTTTTCAGAGTTTTAAAAGAAGTTTTGAGGCAAATGTATTCAAGAAACTTCAGGCATAGGTTTGTTTTTAAATTTAGGTTTATCCTTTTCTTGGGAAGGGAAAGGGGGTTGACTTGTAGTCTTTCTGACTACAAAAGAAAGTCTTCCACAAATGTCATCTGACTAAAGGCAACCTATGGACTTTGGGAAGTCAGTTGGGACACAGAGTAATGCATTAGCCAACAACCGAGCCTCCTGCTTTCTGACCTCTCAGCACCTGCTCGACTGTAGCCTAGAAGAAGGGAAACTCTTGGCTTCTCTACGTGGGTATAGGTTGCCCCCCACCCCACCCCCTTCAAGCAGACGAACGCCAACACCATCAAACTGCAGGCGAACAACGAGTACCCAAGGAGTTTGTCAAAGAACAGCGCAAGGGCAGGGGGCAAAGGAGAGCGAGCAAAGGCGGACGCCCTCGGGAGAGGTCTGCTCACTCCAGCCTGGGAAACCAGAACCCAGTGCCCGCACCGCGCCGAGGGCTCACACTCAGGTGCAGCGCCGAGACTGCTGCGGCGGAGAGGGGACCGCCTCGTCGTGGCCGCCCACTCCTCTTGCCCCGAATGACCCCAGCACCCAGGAGAGGTCCCCTCAGGGGTTTCGCTCCCTCCCTCCCGCAGACAAGGGAGCAGCAAAGCCGCCACTCATCTGCGGCCGCGCCACCTGCCTGCAGGCCCGGCTCGCAGGTGAGGCGCGGGCAGGTAACCGCACCTGCTCGGCCAGCCCCACCTGCTGCGTCCCCTCACCCTGTCCTCCGCCTCCACCGGCGGGGTGGGCTCGGCTCCTCCTCCGGGAGCGGGGGCGCCCCGCTCCGACCTACCTGCGCGACCCCAGCCGCGGGCGCCCGCGCTCCCCGCCGCGTGCGCCCCGCGCCGCTCCGGGCGTGCCGGGGCCGCCCCGCGCCGGCACTTTCTCGGCTGACGGCTGCTGCGGGCTCAGCGGGAAGCCCCAGCGCTGCCGGGCTCGCCGCCTCCGACCGGCTCCATTGTGACGCGGCGCGTTCCGCCGGCCAATCGCCGCGCGGCGGCGCGAACCGCTGACTGAGTTCGCGTGTGCAGGAGGAGGGGACTGGGCGGAGGCGGTGGCCGCGGGGTGGCGGCGGCCGAGGCGGCCGAGGAAGAGGCTGCGGCTGCCTCGGTAGCTGCCGCTGCCGTGAAACTTGCAGCCGCCACGGCCCGAGCGTGTGCCCAGCTTGGGGCGCGCGGGGGCCGGTGACTCAGCCCTCGCGGGTGGAAACAAAGCGCAGCTGCCGTCCCCCGGAGCGCGCCATGTGGCCGCCCCGGGCCGCTCGCCACAGCCTGGGGTCGGCGGGCAGCGGTGCTCAGCTACGCGGTTCCGGGCGGCTGGAAAGCGCGGGGCTGTTTTCAAGAGAAGGGAGGGACGGGGGCTTCGGGCCGTCCGCCAGGCGCCCCGGGCAGCAGACTTGGGAAGTACTGTGTTTTTGGCCGCCCCCCCGCCTTTTCACGTGGGCACCCCCGAGTAACTTATTTTCATAATGTGTGCTGGGCCCTGAGGGGAGGCTCAGGTGGAGTACGTGGGAACCTACCTCTTAACGCAAAGGTCTCCTTACCTTTCTTTCTTCGGCGGGCTCAGGAAGGCCCCAGGGCCGAGCCCCTGTGCGGGAGAGTTAACAGTTGTGCCAAACGAAGCGGCTGAAGTTAGGATCCGGGGCCTCCAGGATCATCCGTCTCTCTCAGAGGTCCTTATCCTCGGCAGAGGGAACATGTGCGGGGGCCATGCTTAACGCCGTCACCAGCGTCTCACTGCTAATACGCTGCAGGTCCACCTCATCTACTGCCCCACCTGGTTACCTCTACAGTTGGGGCCCTGCCTTTGAAAAGTAACAATGCGCCTTATAGAACAAAAAATTCAAACCCAGGAATTCGGGGACTTAATATTGTCATCCTCCTTCAGTCCCCACTTCATCCCCACCCCAGATTTATCTCGGGCTTTTTGCACAGACTATCTTCGTCAACACAATGATTCAATTAGGCAACATTTATATCTCTGAGTTGCTATGGCAATCACATGCCCATTAAAAAAAAAAAATTGTAGAGGGACCTCCCAAAGGAATAAAATGAAGACTATAAAAGACACAGCTTTGGGGGGTATATCTGATGGGTTTGTGTAAATGGGAGAAAAGAAACCGGCACAACTGGGTTATATGAGACCCAATTGTGTCCTACAAAGACTGTTCAGATTAGGACTACAATTTGAATTTCTCTGAAAGGGAATAAGAAGAAGGCTGTCTTTCTGACACTGCTCTATTCTTTCCTTGTCCATTCCATTCTAGGTTGGCAGCTGTCTTCTTCCCGAGTCTTGGAGGAAAGGTTGAAAGAGCATTTCTGCATAAGGTCATTCAGAGAGAGTTTTTATTGAATTTATGTGTGAAACACTGTGTATGTACAGATCTATTAAGCCAATTTAGGTTTAGGTTTGCTCCTCAAAGGGCTTACCACCTGGAGAGGAATATAAAAAATATATACAGAATTAAATATGAAACAAGGAAAAAAGTGAGTGTTATAAGCAATACTGATTATAAAGTCATGAGATTAAAAGTTGAAAATGTCCAATTTTCCGTATGTATCTTGGAATGTTTGGAAAGGAATTTTCTCTTCCCTTCCAAATCCACAGACAGATAATCCATCTTCTATCATATCACTACCTGTGTGACTGGGTGTAGTTACTTCACCTCCTTGGGAATCAGTCTCTTTCTCTATAAAGTAAAATATTATAAACCAGATGCTCTGTTAAGATTCCAGTTCCAATGATGGTATGAATTAAAAGCTGACTTCCATGCTTGGTAACTCAAGGTACCATTCGCAAGGAGTTGAAGTCATTGAGTTCATTAAGACTGCATTAGCTCTGCGTTAATCTCAGATATGTCGCTTATAAATATGTTTATTTTATTCCAATTCTCATGAACAGTGTCACCCTCCATGATGACAACATTTATTATTGTCAACTAGAGGATGTGGGCTTTTGAATTTGTGATATTGCTTCTGGGAATCCTCCTCTGAAACATACAATGGATGTTTCTCTTGTTTCTTCTTCCCCCTGTGATGCTTCATATAAGCTCCTACTTGCATTACAGTGAGGAGAAAGATGAATAACCTCTAATCCTACTCTTGGAGAACTTTAATACTATGCATGTGGTATGGGACCATAACGAAGAGAAAGTATGTACTACCTGGAAACTACTGGCATCCCAGAGTAGACCTTATGAGAAACATAAATACGGTTTGTCTTTTTATGTCTGTACCCAGTTTTAACACTACATTTGTAACCTCTTTGAAAACAGGACCTGTGGAGTCTTAGAATATGACTTAGAATATGTCAGTCCTTACAGGATTACAGGAGTATCTGAAATTCTCTAAGGGACTCTCTGATTAAGTTATTTTGGTTAAAAAAAAAATTCTACAAGACTCAATCACTATTTCCACAGCCAAATTAATTGAAGTCTAAAATGTTAGCAGGCTACCTCTGAGCTAATTCTCTGAAAGGAAAAAAAAAACAAAAAAGACAAAAAACCACACATCTCTGAGTGTCATCAGCATAAGCTATGCTCCATGTGGCTGTCTTGATAAGAGTTTCATTTTTTCTGAGTCTTGAGAAAATTTTTATGATTAATGGAAGACAGAATATTATCTAATGTTAACAGATCTTTTCCAATTCTGTATTCTAAAAATTATGATACGAAAAATCCTCTTTCTTTAAATTAATTAAACATTTGAATGTCTACACAGTATAAAAGAAAGACTAGGGATCTGACAGAGGTGAGGGAAATACCCAGATAAATATAGTAAATCATTTTCTTAAAGATATGTATTCTAGGGGCGCCTGGGTGGCTCAGTCGTTAAGCATCTGCCTTCAGCTCAGGTCATGATCCCAGGGTCCTGGGATCAAGCCCCGCATCGGGCTCCCTGCTCTGTGGGAGGCCTGCTTCTCCCTCTCCCACTCCCCCTGCTTGTGTTCCCTCTCTCGCTATCTCTCTCTCTGTCAAATAAATAAATAAAATCTTAAAAAAAAAAAAAGATATGTATTCTAGTGTGGAAGGTATATCCAGGTAGCATACAGCATCTCAAAGAGGAGGGTTGGTGGGCCATGTAGGTTGAAGGAGAATCATACTGAACATGGGTCTGAGAAAGTTTGGCTAGCTTTAAGATTCTAAACTGGAATATTACTTTTAAATATTGCCTCAGCAAAATAAATAAATAAATAAATAAATAAATAAATAAATAAATAAATATTGTCTCAGCATCATGGTTCAAGTTTGTTAGTTTTATTGAGATGTCAAATCCAAAGAACAAAAATTAGAAGTTATTCACAGTTTTGCATTCTCAGAAAGTTTGCCTGAGTCCCCCTGGTTCAGCTGTATATGGCTGAACACATTGTTATTGATAAAGAATTTTTATTTTTGGCCAATACTTCACCCTGTTTTCCTGACCTTTTCAATCTACTGGTTTCAGAGGTTTAACATGAGTTTTCTTGGGCCTGGGGGAAATTCTGAGAATAACCCCTGAGGATGAGCTCAGTGGTGGGAATTCTGAGGACAGGATGAGTAGGACATTGCACATATGTTTGGAATAAAGGAGCTTGACCTAGAAATCCAGACTGCAATTGTGCAAGGGTGCTGTGCACTTCAGTGTGAGTTGATTCCTTATCATGGTCCCAGTCTGAAATATTCATGACTAGTTACTCTGTGTTCTCACCACCCACCATGCTGATTGCCCCCTCTGCCTTAATTGTACATTGCTCCTTACTTATGAGAAAAGTGCTACAGAGGTGACCTCCCAGCCTCTTCTCTGAAGGAAAAACACCAATTCCTGCAGCAGGATGCCCGACATCCCCAGCTGATGTGTCTTCTGGGAAGTTGTCCAAATATTTCTTTGAAAGTTTCCCATGCATCCCATTTAGAGAATACATACTGTCATCTGGGTCACATATTGGAATCCACCACACAGCAGCCAGCCAGTTACTGACTTTTGTCCCTTTCCTATCCACAAAAAGGAGATGGCTTCTAAGAAAATATTTGCAAGTGAAGCCAGGCTGAAAGCCTAGAGATTAAAGCAGAGTTGGTGCTCCTCAGTGTCTGCAAAGTGGTTGAAAATGACCCTGATGAGTTCTGCTAGTGACTGGACAGTGCTTGTTGGGATCCCTGCAAGGATTCGCTCTGTGTTCCATGAACCATGTTGCAATCTGTGCAACAGGTTTCCTGGTGTTGTTACAGGGACTGGTTTCTGAGGTCCCACATAGTAAACCCTTCCATTTATTTGGTTGAGGGTAACCCAAGTCTCAGACCAGCCAGACTTTGATTTCTCCCCTTTTTTTTACCCTTCAGCAGCTGTGTGTGTCTGTGCGCATGCCTGAGCATTTCTTGGCCTGATGTTAGGTCATCTGTTAATTATAATATACATTGAATATTGGACTTCAATTCTCATCTAAACTGATTCCTTTTTTTTTTTTAGCGAAAGGAAGAGGGAGAAACAGAGGTGGGGGGAGGGGCAGAGGGAGAGAGAGAATCTTAAGCAGACTCCACACCCAGCGTGGAGACCAACGCGGGGCTTGATCTCACAATCCTGAGAGCATGACCTGAGCCAAAATCGTGTCAGAAGTTTAACTGACTGAGCCACCTAGGTGCCCCTAAACTGATTGTTAAGGGTAGGAGCTAATATAGCTCTGTGGTTTATTAAGAATAAAAAAAAAAAATCGTCAAAGAACAGGATTCAGGACATTTTAGGGCTGGAGAAGAAAGAGATATATGCAAGAAAGAGCACTGGACTTGGAGTCTTGGGTTCTACTGGTGGCTCTTCTGGCCATGAAAGCCATTAACAGTCTGGGGAGGAGTTTCTATTTTACAAGGTGTTTAATATATCTATCGTGAACTATATAAGAAAAGAAGATGAATATAGTTCACTCATGTTTTAGAAGTTTCAGAGTTCATTTCACTCATTTATCATCCAACAAGATTTATCCTATGCAAAATACTGCACTGGTTTCTGGGGATACACCAGTCCATATAATGGATGTGGCTTTTGCTTCCTCAGGTCCGCAGTCTCTCAGCATTCCTCCAGAGAACGTTAGGCTGGATGTGATAAATCAGTGAGGACTAACTAACCAAACTCCAATCTGTCCCCACAACTCCATCCTCTTTGGCTTGGTCTTCTGAATTCTCCATATCTAAATGCAGACACACTTTCCAATTACCTACTTCTTCTACTGACTTATCTCTGCAAACTTCTTTGCATCCAATTTACTATCTCCACCAAACTATTGTTTTTAGAACATATAAAAGCAAAAGGACATTTTCCCTCAAGAAGTGCAAAGGTTTGGGCGCCTGGGTGGCTCAGTCATTAAGCGTCTGCCTTCGGCTCAGGTCATGATCCCAGGGTCCTGGGATCGAGTCCCACATCTGGCTCCCTGCTCCGCGGGAGGCCTGCTTCTCCCTCTCCCACTCCCCCTGCTTGTGTTCCTGCTCTCGCTATCTCTCTGTCAAATAAATAAATAAAATCTTAAAAAAAAAAAAAAAGAAGTGCAAAGGTTTTAAAACTTGAAAAAATAGAGGCAAATATGTAGCCAGATAAGTGAGCAAATATGGGGCCTAGTAGAATCTCCTAACACAGGATATTGACATGGCTCAGAGACTATAACTCAAATATGCTTGATAATAGCTTAATATAATCTAGTTACCTTATGAAAAAGAGCAGTAAAATAACAAAGCAGATGTCTTTTTCATTACAAAACTGGTGGGCAAAAGTAGTAAGGCTTACACAGGTAGAGGAGAGGGTGGGTTAAAGTAAGAAAAACTTCTCAGAGAAATTGAGACCTGATGAGTAAATTAAAGAACTCAGGGCCTCAAAGAAACCTGTTGTTTTAGTGAGTAGAACAGCTTCTGGTGGCTGACAAAGGCCTTGTGTAGGTGGGGGAGTTATGGACAGCTTTATTACAAGTAAAGTTGAAGGGGAAGCATCCTGAAGGATGAAAACAGGTATATAGGTGGGTGGAAACTTTACACTTTTATCTTTGAGTGAGCTTAAATGTCAAACAAAATTCCTGGATTTACTTAATTTACTTATCAGTTCAATAAGCAGATATAATATTTTGCTCTTCAGGGTCCAGGACAAAAAGGATCTGTGCATTCTGAGTAAATAACAATCAAAATGCAAATAATTTCTATTTATAAACTAAAGTTCACACAAATTACTCAGTGTATTATAGTCATTTCTGAGTAATATTCTCTTACCTCTATATTCTGTATACCTAAGAGTGCTGTCATCTATTAGCAGTCCCTAGCCTTGCTGAGTCACTCTGTGAAACCTCCTGCAACCCAGCCATCATTCAGAAGCCCAGTAGGTTGAAAGATGACAATTACTTAATTGCAGATCCCCAACATCCTCTGGAGGATAAAGGCTATATCTATCACATGGACTATGCATCCCCAGAAACTGGTACAGTGATTTGCACATACTAGCCACAGAATAAATAGTTGTCAAATGATGAATGAATAAATGAAGCAAAATGTAGTCTGTGATTTCTGAAATGCACATATTCTCTATTCTGTATATTCCAGGGTTGTCTCAGGATTTAACCTCTAGCTCTGTCCACTTCAGCTCCTACAGTTTAACATGATGTCACTTGATTGAAGAATCAACAAATTTAAAAGACTGGGATTTGGAAGTGCAAAGGAGTACATAGGGATGATTTGAGAAAACAAGGGGATGATATAGAAGTGGCAACATTTTTCTTTTTTTTTTTTCTTTTTAAAGATTTTATTTATTCATTTGAGATAGAGAGATACAGAGAGAGAGCGAGCATTAGCAGGGGAGAGGCAGAGGGAGAGGGAGAAGCAGGCTCCCCGCTGAGCAGGGAGCCCGATGCGGGGCTCGATCCCAGGACCCTGGGATCATGACCTGAGCTGAAGGCAGACGCTTAACCATCTGAGCCACCCAGGCGCCCCAACATTTTTCAAAATTAGCTTAAAAAAATTTACTTATTACAAGATCACTTATTATATTTCTCATGGCTATGAATGTCTTCATCTCCTCTTTCTTGGTAACATATACATCCACACTGGCATTGGGCCATTTTTTCCAACTTGAGTGTCTTGTGGCTTTGAAGTGTCATAATATCTTGAGGTTTCTTTGATAATACTTGACCAGAGGACTGGCTTTGGAGATGCCAGAAACCATGATGATTAGCATACAAGACAGCATACAAGACAGTGCAAAACCATGAGTCAACAAATTATGACTACCTTTAGAAATAGCTACCTATATATAGCATAAGTGGCTAAAAGCATGGATTCTGGAGCAAGGCTACTTGGGTTCAAATGTTGGCTTTGCCCTTATGAGCTGTTTGAGTTTTGTTATTACTTAATTTCTCTTAGCCTTAGTTTTCTACTTGAAAAATGGGTTGTGGTAAGGATTAAATGAATAATATGGTTAGAATAGCTCCAGAAACATATTAATTTAGCTCTTATCATGATTTTTGGTAAGTGAACCACTCTGAACTAAGAGTTTCCATGCACAGAATGAGAGGTTTTGAGTAGATTATCTCTAAGGCCCTTCTCAATCTACTGTTTTCAAGCAAGAACAGTTCGTCTATGCATTTTTCTACATATATGTGTGTGGTTAGAGATAGGGAAGTGGGTGATTAGTTAGTAAATGCTTTCCTTGATTGATGGAAGAAGGGGTTATTGGGAGATTAGGCCAAGCTTCTTTCCTAGATTCTAAATTTCTTGGGAGTGAAAAGTATATGATTCTTCTTCCATATCCCAAGGCCTAACATGGTACCTGGGGATAGTGGGTGCTCAATAAACTGTTAATGAATGTGGAATAAAGGCCCTCATGTCTTAAGTTCCCAGATGTGTGGGAATCAGAAAGGGTAGAAACTGCTTCCTAAGCCTTTTCTTGTTTTAACACTACTTACACAAAATATTCAAAAAACATTAGTGCTCTCTACTGGAGATATTCATAGTGCAGGAGTTCAGTTAATTGGTTATTGATGGCAGATTCTGATTGGAGTTCAGAAGTCCTGGATATGGCAGATAGACATATTTTACTGTTTCAAGTACATATTTGGTGTATGTCATTGAAGATGACATGATTGCACTAAAATTTCTTTGCCTTCTATTTCTGACCCTCCTTCAGAGCATTTGTTTGTTTGTTTGTTTTAAGATTTTATTTACTTATTTGACAGAGAGATAGCGAGAGCAGGAACACAAGCAGGGGGTGTGGGAGAAGGAGAAGCAGGCTTCCCACTGAGCAGGGAGCCCGATGTGGGAATCGATCCCAGGAACCTGGGATCATGACCTGAGCCGAAGGCAGATGCTTAACGACTGAGCCACCCAGGCACCTCCCTTCAGAGCATTTGTATCTATACATTTGTACAAATTGTGTATTCTTTCTCACTCATTGTGAATAAAAAGAGGACAGCATTAATTAAAATATCAATGTTGAGAAAATAAAAAGACAACCCACAGAATGGTAGAAAATATTTATAAATCATATATTAGATAAGGGACTTGTATCCAGAATGTACAAAAACAAAACTCAACAATAAAAAAAGACAAAAACACAATTTTAAAATGGGTAAAATATTTGTTGACATTTCTCAAAAGAGATATACGAATGGACAATAAGCATATGAAAAGATACTCAACATCATTAGTCATTAGAAAAATGCACATCAAAACCACAAGGAGATAATACTTAGAACTCATTAGGATGATTAAAATAAAAAAGACAATGACAAGTCTCAGTGAGGATGTGGAGATACTGCTATCCTCATAACATTGCTGATAGGATTGTAAAATGGTGTATCCACCTTGAAAGACAGCCTGGCAGCTTCTCAAAATATTTACCATAGAATAACTCAATGACCCAGAAATTCTACTCCTAGGAATATGCTCAAATGAAATATCACCATACAAAAACCTATACAAGAATGTTCACAGCAGCATTATTCATAATAACCAAAAGGTAGAAACAGCCTAAATATCCATCAACTGATGAATGGATAAAGGAATTGTGGCATATCAATATAATGGAATATTTTTTGGCCATAAAAAGTAATGAAGTATAGATAAGTGCTACAACATAGATGAACCTTAGAAACATGCTATGTGAAAGAAACCAGTCACAAAAGACCACGTATCATATAATTCCATTTACATGAAATATCCAGAATAGGCAAATCCACACACACACAAATAGTGCATTAAGGGTTGGGGGAGAAGGGGCAGAGAGTGACTGCTAATGGGTACAGTGTTTATTTTTGGGGTGACAAAATGTTCTAACATTAGACAGTGATGATGATTACACAACTGTGTGCATAATACTAAAAGACAATGAATTGTATACCTCAAAAAGGTGAATTACATCTCAATACAACTGCTATTAAACAAAATCAATGTTCTCTAAATATACCCAGTTTCAATAACCATAGGACAAAATGTCAGGCTTTGGTGGACTTTTAAAACCTGTACTTTGCCATATAAAGATCTCCTGGAGAGCTAAGCCAGTCAAGTGATTTCTGTTTTGTTTTGTTTTCAACTAAAGAAATCATCTGAGGTTGTATTAGTATGATGCCAAAATTGTTACGGAACCTGGACTGGATTGCCCAACGGAAGAACCAAGTGGCGCTCGCAGATCTTGGAGGATGGGAGGTTTATTTAACGTTGGCGGGCTCAGAGGAGAGTGACCTCCAAAGGTCTGAGCCCCGAGCACAAACAAAGGGGGCAATTTCTGCACTTCTACTTCTGCATACTTGGCACTTTTGGTGTGTGCGCAAGCGGGGCAGGGGGAAGGACCCGGACTGGTGCGCATGGGAAGCAGAGCAGGGAGAAGAACCCGGAAGAGCCCCAGGGCAAGGACTGGGACTCTCTCACTGGATCTGTCAGCCATCTTAGGACACAGATTTTCCTTATCAAAATAACTGATTAAGAAGTAAAAAAAGGCAATTTGGTTATTTTAGTTTTATTGAATTTAAACTTTTTACTTTCTATTAGGCAAACTCTCAGGTATGTTAATTTTTTAAAATAAAAAGTATAAAAGAATGAATTCTGTATCAAGTACTCCCAAGCTGTGCATTTGGACTTATAATAAATGCTGGCCAGGGCTTTAAAATGATATGGAATGTTATATATATGTATATATTTCTCTTTTCATTTTTTTCAATTTTTGTTTCATATCTTTGGTGTTTTGTTGTTAGGTGCATGTGTTTATAATTATTATATCTTCCTGATGGATTGACAGTTTCATCATTATAAAATGTCCCTCCAAGCTCTATTGTTGTTTACATAATGTATCTTTTTCTATCCTTTTACTTTCAATCTATGTGTAATTTGGCAACAAACTGTATCTCTTTTAGACAGCATTATTTGGATCCTGTTTTATTTTTAAACCCAGTTTGAAAATGTCTGCTTTTTGATTGAATTATTTAGTCCATACACATTTGTTATGAGTACAATTGGACTTACACTTGCCATATTGTTTTCTATATGCCTCAAGTCTTTTTTGTTCATCTATTTCTCCTTTACTACTTACTTTTTCATTACTTGAATATTTTCTAATATTGCATTTTAACTTCCTTAATGATGTTATCACTATACATTTTTAGTTATTTCCTTAGCGATTGCTTTAGGGCTTACCATATACATCTTAACTTGTCAAAAACAGCTCAGAATTATATTAACAATTCCAGTGAGATGTAGAGACATCATTCCCATATAGCTCTATTCTCTTTCCTCTGTTATTGTGGTATTACTATGTATTACCTCTATACCTGTTATAAACCCAATAATATGTTGTTGTAATTATTGTTACTTGCATGTCTTTTAAAGAAGCTGAGAGAAGAGGAAAGAACAAGTACATAATTTGAGGCTTCTGTTGTATTAGCCATCTTATTTATCATTTTAGGTTTTCTGCATTTGTTCCTGTGGATTCAAATTAACATCTAGAGTTTATTCTTGGCCCAGTATAGCTTTGTCCCCACACATCTCCTTGTGCTGTTATGAGCAAATACATTACATTTCTGTATGTTATATAAGGCCCAGCAATACAATTACATATATATTGCTTTATGCTCTTCAAATCAGTTAAGAGAAGAATGGATAAGAAATACGTATTTATATTCTTATAATTATATAATTACCTTTACCATTGCTCTTTGTTGTGTGTGTGTGTATTTAGATTACTTTCTGGGGTTACTTGCTTTCATTTCAGTCTGTTGAACTTGCTTTACTATTTCTTCAAAGGCGGATCTGCTAGCAACAGAAAATATATTGCTGGCAATATTTTCTGTTTCATTCTCTCTCTGTTCTTCTGGTATTGCCATTATATGTATTTTGGTGTACTTAATAGTGTCTCAAATTTCTCTGAAGCTCTATTCATTTTTCTTCATTCTTTTTTCTGTCTGTCCTATGGATTATGTAATTTCTATTGATTATTTTTGAGTTCTCTACTTCTTTCTTCTGCCAGTTCAAATTTTCTATTTAGCCTGTCTAGTGAATCTTCAAATTTCAGTTATTGCATTTTTTAACTCCAGAATTTCCATTTGGTTATTTTCATAACTGCTATATCTTCATTAATCTCTTCATTAATTACATTAATTGATGTAACATTGTCATCATACTTTACTTCTAAAATCCTGGTTTCCTTTAGTTCTTTAAACATATTTATAATGGCTTCGTTGAAGTCTTTCTGACAAGTCTGACATGTGGTCACTCTTCCAGGCAGTTCTGTTGCCTTTCTTCTGGTATCTAGGTCACATTTTCCTGTTTATTTTGTATGTCTCATATTTTTTGGAAACAGAATATTTTAGACCACATATTATAGCAACTTTGGGTACTGGCTTCATCGCTCCCCTCCTCTGGGGCTTGTTGTTATTAGCTTGTTTACTTGTTTAGGGACTGGTTAGATTACTTTAGTGAAGCCTCTTCTCCAACTCTCCCCTCCACCCTGCTAAACACATACACGATGAAGCCTCTGATGCTGTTCCTCAGGGGTCCATCCTTGGATATGGTCATAGTCACTCTGGGAGGACAGTGGTTTTGGTGTGGTTCTCTGTCTGAGTATGTGCCCACATCTATCTGTGTAGCTCTACTAATTGGTGGTTGCTTGCTCTATTGTTTGTAATAATGCTCTGGGGAATAAATTGCTTCACACATTAATACAATCAAATTTAGGCTCCCTTGGAGGGACAGTTCCTGACCTCAGTGTTTGAGGTTTATTCAGACTCTAGGAAAGCTCTTCCACCTGTTTCTTTGCTTATTTTTCTCCAGCAACTCTTTGGTTCACTGTTTAGCCTATATCTTTCATGAATCTATCAATCTCCTCCCAATTGTCTTTCACCAAAACCTCTACTCTTTTTGAAAGCAGGCTTAGGCTTGAACTTCATATTCTGTTGCAGATGAAGGTGGTTCCTTTGGGGAAAGATCTTGAGCATTCTGTTCTATGGCCAGCTTTTTCTCCCTGCCAAAATTTCTGAGCCACAGCTCTGGTGCTGAGGGAAGGAGAAATAGCTCACTTCTCCCTAAGTGAAACACTAGCTTAAAGAACTGAGAACTCAGTGGATGTAGGAGCAATAGCCCCAGGTGTCCTTGGCTTGTCTCCCTTGGCATGGTATCCCTGCCCTATGAGCTGAGGCAAGAGCAATTGGGACCTCAGTGTTCTACTATGCCCAAGGTAGAGACTTTGTACCCTGAGTTGGAGTTAGTGGAAGAATGGAGTCCCTCCTCTTGGCTGCACTTGCCCAGAAGTTTGCCTCAGCAACTAGTAGTTAGGGGCAGCATGAGAAATGCTAATGTCTTATCCCTCCCAGGAAATTAGCCCTCCAATGAGAAGCTGGGGGAATTCAGAACCTTGTAATCTTGACTGTACTAGTCTGGAGTGAAGTTCCCATTTCACTGACCTGGAAGTAAGGAGGGAGGGTATGGGTGTTGGTTCAAATACCACAGGCTCTTGCAGTTTTATGGAGTTTTAGTAAATATTCTTGAGTAAATGTTCCCTCTTTTGCTGTATTCCCATAGGGCCACTTCCATTTTTTTGTATGCCCATAGGGTTAAGCATTTTTAAATGGTTGTTTTAGAAATGATTTCATTAGTTTCGCTGAGGAGTGACTCTGAGTTGCACACTGTCGTGCCAGCAGTGGAACCAGGACAGGGATACTTTGATCCAGTGTAGATTAGCATTGTCTTTAGCGGAGTGCTTTAGGTGTCTGTGGTTGCTAGTGGAAGGCCTAAGATCTATTTGTAGTAACAATGTTAATAATAATAATGATGATAATTTCTTAGGCTAGTATTCCAGAAGCAAGGCTAAGATGGAAATTCCTGTAGGTGGTTTGTTGAGGGAGTCCTTTAGAGAAGTGGTGACATGGGGATACATAAGTTCCCAGGCATCTCCTGAGGGAGGCGGTATGAGCCTATAGCAGCCAATACCCATCTCATCTAGGGATGGATACTCTGTCCTAGTAAAGAGATCGGGACTGGAGTTCAACAGAGGTAAAGAAGAGTTCAAGAACTAAAGAAGAGAGAAATGAAAGGAGAAAAAAGGAAAGAAAATAGAGAAAAGAATAAAAAAAAGCAAAAAGCCGGGGCGTGCATGGGAGTGCCAGGGCAGGACTAACAATGTTCCCAGTGGTCATTCAGGAATACAAAGGCCCTTGGCTTTGGCCTAAGCCTTCGGAGGTCAGGCTTGTCAGAGCCCAACAATGTTGTAATCTCTTGGTTAATGTCACCCAAGGAGTGAGAATTTTGGGAACATTGCCCATGGACCCATTTCCTACTCAATATGCTTAAATTATTTGGTTTAGCAAGGAGTAGAGTTATTTCCCTAAAGCAAGAGCCCTGCATGGCAAATATTTTCCTTCAGGTAAATTGGCAACAGAGAGACTTCAAGTGGTACTACCCGCCCCCAAAGCCCCATTGTGGTTCAAGTGCTAGATAGGTACTATATGAACACCCACTTAAATAGCATGCTGCGGTAACCTCTTCAGAAGGAGCTATATTTTTGTAAATAGAGTATGCATGCACCTGGTCTCTCTTTGATAAGTGACAGTGTGATATCTCTTAATAAGAACAAAGTGAAGGAGGATTTACAGACTGAACCTACTCATTGTTAGGTGTGATAAATGCTTTCTTCTTTAACTGAAGATGCTTAATGAAGTAGATTATAGAGACCATTTCAAAACCTTTGCTTTTAAGGTTAAAGAGAAATTGCCATCCAGTAAGAATAAAATCCCACTGAAATGTTAAGTTAGGTACCTAACTACACCCCATATATGCCAAGGAATATGTACTGGGGAGCTAGAAATCACTTTCTCTGTCTTGTTAACTTAAAATAAATTAACAGGTAAGTAACCCTCTCAATAGCACACCTGATTCCAAATGGTGTGCCATTCCAATACCACAGACATATTTAAAAGTGATGATTTTATCACAAAACAATACCTCTCCTATTCTCCTAAAGCAGAAGCTATAACTTCAGACCCAGAAAACCCAGTGCAATCCAACAAGTTAATAACTTCAACAAAATCACAAAGACCTCATTGACATATGAATATCGGGGGGAGTTGTAACAAAGACATTTGGGAGAAATTTAGATATATTCCAACAGAATACTTTCTAAAGTTTCCTCTAACATCTGCTTTTTCAATGCCAGCCAAGATAGGTAGTATCTGAATCATATTTTTGATTCATATTTGATTTCAATCAAATTCAATCAAAATCAAATATGATTTGAATCATATTATGATTCAATCATTTCAGTATATGAATATTTTTAATCTCTTGGGTTTCACATTGTTTAAATTTGTCATGCCAGAATATTTGTTTAGCAGATGGCATTTCAATGTTTTTTTTTTTTAAGTTTCTTACAGTTTCTAGGAGAATTTAAAACTAAATTGTCCTTAGGAAATGATTCCTTATCTCTTCTCATTGGAAATAAATTCAGAACTCACAGCTGGATTAAGCAGAACATGTGAAGCAATGGTACTAATGATTGGTATCTGTTGTTAGATGACCACTACTGATGTTTCATTCCTTACGAAATCAGACTGATCTGTAATTCACTATTTTTTTTGTTATCATTTTGATTTTATGATGCAAAAATGGAACAGCACTTTAAGACAATGACAGTATATTAAAACAATAATCTATACACCAGTTTTTAGTATTTCTATGTTTTCTCTCAGATGTATTCCATTTGCACTGGATTTTTGTCTTCAATGGCCCTATGTTCCCCTTTAGTGCCCACAACTCCAAAGTCAACTTCAAATGGAGGGGATAAGACCCTCTCCATGCTTTCAATCTTATTATTCCTCTTGCTAACCCTTGGGATTCTGCCCCGTTAAGTCAATTCTAGAAGTGTCAGTGGTTGATAATAGCTTAATATTTGCTAAAATCAACAAAAAGTCATTAAACATCTACTATGTCCTAGATGGAGTATATGCTTATGTTTTATGTTATCACACACACACACACACACACACACACACACACACACACACACACACCCCAGGAAGTCCCTTTCCATGAAGACTGAAATGTAACAATGACCCCATGATTTTGAATAAATCAAATATTATTATCTTTCTGATGACAGTATGTTTTTAGATAGGAAACATAATAAACATTATACAATACTTTTTTTCAAAGTCTACTGACATTGATGAATAAATATGCAATTATTGCCTTACCAAGAACTAAAAAGAGATAGATCGCATTTTAGGCAAAGTATTCATAGAGGAGACAGAAACCCAGGATTATAAAACATTGATTAGGGGTGGTTATTTATGCTAAGCAAGGATACTTCACAGGATTCTTTTAAAGTATAAACTCTGATTTAAACATTATTTTTAATAAGATTTTTAAAAATTCAATTTGGGCACTAGCTTTAGGGGTATACCTGTTACCACTACAGCTACATAGATTTTAAATTTAAAAACATTGTATTTGATTCTCTTGGAACATTGGGTATAGAGAAGAAGAAAGCAGAGGTAGCTAATATTTATTTAATATTCAATTTTTTCAGACTTTTTGCTAAGTGCTCTCTCTTTGTCCCATTCAGCATCAGAACAGTTTTTGAGGTGAATGTTCCTATCCTTATTTTGTAGATCAGGAACAGAGTCCCACAAATTACTGTGATTATGCAGCTAGCAAGGACTGGAAAGAAGTTTACAATCCAGTTCCATTGGACTCCAAAGTGCATGCTTCTTTTTTTTTTTTTTTAAATCATTTTATAAACCATAAATAAAGCAACCAAAAAACCTCCTTGATTTTGAAAGGAAATAATAAGTATTTTTTGAGTACAAAGAACCAGATTGTTACACTCCAACTACACGTAAAATAACTTTTCTAGTTAGCTAGCTTTAAGCCCTTGCAAATTGTGGGTTTAGCCTCTTGAAAAACACTGAAAATTCACCATGCATGAAGAAAACAATTCATTGGACCCATTATAGCCTACTGGCATATTATATGCTCCGTTTTTATGAGTAAGCCATGCCAAATATAGGATCATGTTAGCTGTTGAAATCTGTCTTTATGTAAATAGATATATGCTCTCATCGGTGCCGTCCCCAGCAATACAGATGGGTTATTTGTTGTCTGGTGCCAGCCTGTAGAAAGATCCCAGAGTACCACAGATTGGGCTGCTGTTTGAGTTGGAACTGAACCAACCAGCACATGATGACTCCAGTCATCTCTTATGATAGTCAGTTCTCTTCATTAGCATTCATTTTTGCTCTTGGGATTCAGCCCTCACACAAGGGGTGGGTTCCTGACAGCATCTGGTTTCCCCTTTTCCATGTCGCCAGCTTTGGGTATTTTATTAATTGCAGTGCAAGCTGGTATCATTTACTAGTTTTAACTACTCTCCAATGCCATTGGTTATGTATACATAACTCTTTGTTCCTTCTTTATCAAAAGATCCCAGGATTAAAAATCTTTAGCTCATTATGATGTTGTAGTTTATTTCATTCTTGGTATGGAGTGAGCACAGCCAGACTCTCAGAATGTGGTAAACACTTTGCTGTGTGACAAAGCATTTTTCTTGTATGACTTTATTCTGTAGTGACTTTCCTTCAATCCACCCTGCCCTCTCCTGGAACTCCTTCTATTGCTTCTCTCCAACTTGCAATTCTTTCTCAAAGTAATAGATGTCACATCTGTGCCACTTCAGAATTTTCATGTGTCCATATTCAAGTAATGCCCTTTGCCCCTCTTTTACCACAATGTGAATATGGACCACAAGGTTGGTCAGGCAACTAAGAAACCTAGCCTCTGAAATGACCAGTTTGTCCTTTTCTCCACCCACCCCACCTCCAGGGAAAAGCCTGGAAAAATTCTCATGAGACGTATGAAAGTCCTGAAATGGAACAGGCATGACATGTATTACTGCGAATGAATCCTATACGCTAAAGAAAAGCAGGAGAGCATCCGAGGACATCCTGGTGTGGCAGCAGGACAGAGCCCTGCCTCAGAGCCTTCGGAATCTAGAAGCCCTGGGAGACACAGAGGATGACAGAACTTTGGAGGGCACCTCAGATGCCAGCACATTTGCTGCCCTCCCTTATGTAAGCAACTATATTCTGGGTCATGAGGTGGAGTCACTAGGATGTCTCTATTCCTGGTGTTACTCTTTTGTTCACTCAACAAATATTTATTGCTTGCCTGCTGTGTGCCGGGAGCTAGGCGTACAGCTTAGAATATTTTTCTTGGCACCATGGTGGTCTTTCCTCCTTCTCTCCCTACCCATCAGCAAAGTATCATTAAATATTTGCCAAGCATCTGTGCTGTGCTTGGCACTGTGGTGGTTATTGACGTACATATCTCTCATCAACATCTTAATCTTGAATGGTAGATGCTAATATTTCCATTTTGTAACTGAGGAAACTGAGACTCGGCAAAAACTAGTTGATCTTCTCAAAGTCCAAGGTGGAGCCTGGATGCTGTGGACCCTCATTCTGTTGGGCTCCAAACTCAGCTATGTTACATGTTCTTTCCCCTTGGGTGGTAGAAAACCCTCCTAAAGGGTGAATGAAAGTGCTCGACATGCCAGACCGACAGCTTCCTGCAATTTGGAGCAATTCCAGCTCTTGTCCAAGCAGGGCTAAGGTCGGGGGCTTCCTTCCCTCGCCAGGGTTTTGGCGACAGAAGGTTCTTTTTTTTCTTGTGTCTCTTGACAAATGTGGTCCAGTTGTCTAGTAGCAGACTCAACTTTTTTTTCTTTTTGTAGTTTTTCTCACCTGCATGAGAAAATGTGTTCTCACTTGTCTTTCCTTTTCCTAAAATGCACTTAGCCTTCTTTTATACAAGGCTTAAGTTTTTCTGTGTCATTGCCTGGATCAATGGAATGCCTTTCTTCCCTGTTGAATGTGCATGCATCAAATTATCAGTTTTCCTAGAAACTTCCACATGGTTGAGTCAAGTCTGGTCTTTTCACTTAAGAGCAATTAATATTGGGCAATACCTAATTGAGTATGTGCCTCAATTTCCTCATTTGTAAAAGGCAATAGTACCTACCTCATAGGGTTGTTGTAAGACCATGGGACACCTGGGTGGCTCAGTCGGTTAAGTGTCTGCCTTCGGCTCAGGTCATAATCTCAGGGTCCTGGGATCGAGTCCCGCATGGGGTTCCCTGCTCAGCGGGGAGCCTGCTTCTCCCTCTGCCCACTGCTCCCCCGCTTGTGCTTGCTCTCTCTCTGACAAATAAATAAAATCTTTTTTTAAAAAAGACCAAATAAAAAATACAATACTTCCCACAGCAACTAGAACTTAAGATATTAGCAGACGTTAACTCATTATTATTGAGATTTGGTAGAGCATGTCAATTACTTCCACTGGAATATGTTCATAGGAGGGAATAGGACCTGGCAATAAACCCACCCACAGGGGAGCTGGACCCTGATGCATATGCTCAGCTGGAGGTTCAGGTCGTCAGGTTAAGTACACTTTCCGAAGACTACAGTCAGGTTCAACTAGGCTAATAGTTGGCAACAGAATTGACATTGAAGTAGCAGGGAGTCCTGGCCCTGGAGCAAGAGACTGCAATGAAAACTTGAGGAAGATCGGTCAAGGGATATGAAGGCTCAGCTGCCTGGGCTGATTAGCTAGGACAGGCCTCCAAGCCTTCAGACATGACCTTCAGAAGAAGTCCTGGAAAGGAAAAGGAATGTAGGCAAGTAATGAAGATGGGCAGAAGCCAGCTGCATGTGAAGGAGGTAGATGACCCAACTGGGAATGCAGTGAAGGCGCAGATCACAGACGGAGGGCCCAGCGCCAGAGTCAGATTCAGAACAATGGGAGCAACATGCAGCTCTGGGATGCAGGGCTGGAGTGGTCCTGGGTCAGGCCTAAGGATCCAGGCAGTCAGGGAGCACCTGGATCCAGATCCAGTGATTCTGGGTGGGGAGAAATATAGAGGTGAGGAACCAAGCTGAGCTGGATCCTTTATACATTTATTTTATTAGTCATTATTAGATTTATAAACTCTGAGAGTTTAGATAGCTCTGGGTAGGTAGGTAGGTCTCTGGATATGGCGTTTAATTGACATCTTATCCTGCTACCACTGTGAAGGGTTGTAGAGATAATGAAAAATAGACGTTAAGGTGACTTTTAAGGTTTTTTTTTAAAGCTTTTAAAATGTAAGGCATTATGGCCATTATTTATAATCATACTTTTTCATGATAGCAATGCAATTTTCCATTAAATTTTTTTTCATGATTTAGCCTGAGTAATATTTCCATTAAAGTAAGTACAACTGGTATATTGAATAAGCATGCTTTGAGGAATGTAATAAGAAAAGCAATTTTATTTTTGCCTCCTACTGTAATAAGAAAAGCAATTTTATTTTTGCCTCACTTTAAAGTGTATTCAGGAAGAGAAATCTTTTTCCTGCTGCTGGTTAAAAGCTCAAGGGGGCTTAATGACAGAAAGTCCCATGGTTGCTTTAACTTTCAAAACAGAGCTTGATTCAGAAATTAGCGCATCTAGTCCAAATTCTAGTTTTCATTTAAAGGTAAGACTTCCTTCCCCTCTCCTTCCCCCTCCTATCCTGAGCTGCTTCCTAGCAACCTCGGCAGGGAGGCACTAGGTGGCTTCTTCCACCAAAGCAGGAAGCAGCCGCAGGTCTGTCTCCCCTGAACATTACACTATAAAGCAGAGCTCAGGGAGGGACAAGGGGAAAGGCACCAGAAAGTTCCTACTTGATAGGTACTTCCATTCTATCTTTTTCCTTTCTGGGTGGCTGATGTTTAAAGCTGACTTTTTCTGAGACCAGCCTGAACTCTTTGACAGCTCACCTGAAGGGCCCATCTGACCTCAACTCCCACAGGGTGCAATGCTCCTCACCCTGCTGGTGACAGGCACTCCTTCTTGGCTTCCAGATTTCCAGCAGTCCAGCCCGAGCCCAGACTCTGTGGGGACCTCTTGCTCTCTGGCCAAAGCTGTGATTGAACAGGTAAGATCCCCTTGAAAAGGCTTCCAAGACGAGCTCTCATTCTCTGTTGATGAGTCCACAGCTGCAAATCCCTTAGATATTTCTGTCCTGATCCTCAGACCAGTCGCCACAGCATCCCACCATAGTGCTCAGACTTGGGTTACACCCCAGCCCAGGGAACATGGGTTAGGTCTCCCAGGGGCTCCATAAAGATTTCCTCACCTCATTTGAAGAAGGACAACACTCTTTTCAGTAGGTGAAATTTCTTTATGACTCTATCCTCCCAGCCTACTCTCAATGTTTTATATCATCCAATTAGGTGAGGGGTTTTATTTATTTTATTTTTTAAAAAAAAATATTTATTTATTTGAGAGAGAGAGAGAGCAAGCAGGGGGAAGGGGAGAGGGAGAGGGAGAATTCTTAAGCAGACTCCCTGCTGAGTAGGGAGCTGGACACAAAGCTTGATCCTAGGACCCTGCGATCATGACCTGAGCTACCCAGGCACCCCTACGTGAGGGGTTTTAAAAGTACTGGGTTTTCATAATTTTATTTGCAAATGTATATATGGTCTGACATCTCATTTTGGAATTCAATATCTCTTGAAACAGACATTTAAGTAACAATTACTTCACCTTCCGGCCTGCCCTCACCCACTGCCTTATTAACGACTGCGGCATCCATTAATAGCTACTTCAAGGCACTTGGGGCTTTCATCAATGTTCTCCTCAGTGCCCACTGCCCAGTTCCTAAGCCACTCCCACATTTCTGATATTCACTGTGGTAGCACCCCACTTCCAGATACCAAGATCTATAGAAGTTGTCTCCTTTGGAATAAATTACTCCCAAACACAACAGCTTTAAACAACAGATACTGATTATCTCGCAGTTTCTGAGGGTCAGGAAGCTTGGAGCAGCTGAGCCGGTAGTTCTGCTTCAAGCTGTCTCACGTGGTTGCAGGTGGACTGTCAGCTGGGCTGCAGGCTATGGAGGCTTAGCTGGGGTTGGGGTTCCATTTCCAAGCTCGTTCCCTTGGCTCTTCCCCCTCCCATGGGCCTCTTTCCACAGGGCTGTTAGGACATGGTTTCTCTCTGAGTCAGTGATCCAGGACAGAAGAAGCACATTCCCAATGAGGAAGCTGTAGACTTTTTACACTCTCATCTCAGAATTGAGTACCATCGCATCTGCTCTATCCAAATCATCAGCAATTAGTCATTAAAACTAACCTACACTTAAGGGGAAGGGAATTAAACTTTACCTCTTGAAGGGAGGAGATTTGATGAACTTGTGGGCAAACCTTCAAAACCACGGCAGGCAACATGCTGACTGAGGAAGATCATTTTAGATAGTTTAAACCTCTTTGTTTCCCAGTTGTCTGAGTTTAAGATATAAAATATCTTAACCCCACCCTCTAAAAAAGGCTTAAGTAATATTAGTTATGTGAAGGCATTAAAGGAATTGGTCATTAAATTTCACAATCTAGCTTAGGCAAAGAGTAAAGGAAAAAGAAATCTTGCATGCCTGGCTAATTTATAAAGCACTGACATCAATGAATTGAGCATATTCTTGCATCAGCAGTGAAAATGAACAACTCCTACGTCTGGCTTTATCTTGTGGCTTCTTTCTTTCAGATTTGTGGTTAAATAATATGTGGTCAAAGGGTTTTCATCACCTACCTTGTCATTATAAATACTTCCTCTTAGTTGACTTCTAGTTAACTTTGAACAATCAATGTATTACAACCTGAATATATAGAGAAAATCCATGAATTTGAAGAAGATACATAAAAATCATTTAAAAGCTACAATTAAATATTACAGACATGGTGTAGACATGGCATATTTGTTCGTTCCTTAGAGAGGTGTAGAAACTTGCCAACTGTAATTTTCATTCGCATTTTTTATTTTTCTATATAGATGCCGAACAAGGTAGTGTTAATTCAATAAGTAGGTAATATTTAATGGTCATAAAAGGTTGGAATAGTTCTAGAGCAGTTCTGTTGTCATCCATTGTTCTGGTAGGAACTGGAGTTCACTAGACTTGAGGATGGGAGAAAGGAACTTTTTCCAGTCTTCCCTAATATATCCACGTGGTCTGTTTAAATTGAGCATTCAACATCAGGTTCTAAAAAAGGAAGAGGGCTATTTATTAAGTAGGGTCGACAGACAGGAAAAGTAGTCACTGATAACCTATTTTTCTTAATTTACCCTCAGGGCTAAAAACTGTACAGGCTTTGGAATGGTTGCAGCTAGCGATGAAGGTGATGTTAATGTTTTCTCTTATGGCGGTGGAAGGCCATAGAGCGCAATGCCTTGGAATCAGCTATTCTGCTCCTCACAGCGCCCTCTTGTGGCCAGAATTCAATCTTCTTAGAGAATTTCTCCCCCTCTTCTCACAGATCACTCTTCCAGTTACATCAGAAATAAAAGATTATTTCTCACGGATTACTTGCTTCTACAACAAACTCATTAGAATTGGGAACTTAATTATTATGAATTCACATGCTTTATGTGTTCAGTACTTATAGGAATCAAGAGATTGTTGTCATCACTGACTGATTGGATTGTTACTTTTGTTCTCTTGTACAAGGAGTCCATAAAAGAATTCAAGGTTTGTTCTCCTCTTTTTTTTCCCCAATGCATGATAATTATAAGCAGAAATGTAAGAAATCACTATATTTGTATGTTGACAAAATCATAATCTTATAGGAAATAATAACATTAACAAAAATCTCAATAATTTTCATGAATCATTCCAGTATCATGATATTTGGGGGCATATGGAACAACCTACAGCTATCAGGAGTAAATAATGTCATTAGAAAAGTAAAGCTCTCTGATGGTGATTTGTAACAGTAATGAAAGAGGAATTTCCTAAGCATCAAACTTAAAAGTCTGTAATGTGCTCATTTATTGTTTCTATGATTATTGTAGCAGATGCTACATATCATCATTAATATTTTGTCAAAAAAAATTTTCTCAGCTCATAATTTCCACTGAAGAACTATATAATAAATAAAAATAGAGGAATACTTTTTTCCATATTTTCCCCATATTCTTCCATATTTCCAGTTTTTAATTAAAAAAACTAGAATTAAGTATGACTTAACTCAGAAAAATGAACAAATTATAAATGTTCAGCTCAGTAAACTATCACAAAGTCAACTCAGCTGTGTAATTACCATCCAGGCCAAAAGACAGGGTGTCATCCTCATTCATCTGCCAATCAATGCCTCCTTCCTTCTTTTTTTTTTTTTTAAGATTTTTATTTATTTATTTGAGAGAGAGAATGAGGTAGAGCGAGCATGAGAGGGGGGAGGGTCAGAGGGAGAAGCAGACTCCCTGCTGAGCAGGGAGCCTGATGCGGGACTCGATCCCAGGACTCCAGGATCATGACCTGAGCAGAAGGCAGTTGCTTAACCAACTGAGCCACCCAGGCGCCCCAACCTCCTTCCTTCTTTCCCAGGAGTATACATTATCCTGACTTCTAGCATCATTTTGGTGGTTTTGCAACTTTATATGAAAGGAATCACAAAGCATGTACTATTTTTTTTTTTTAAAGATTTTATTTGTTTGTCAGAGAGAGAGAGAGCACAAGCAGGAGGAGGGGCAGAGGGAGAAGCAGGCTCCCTGCTGAGCAGGGAGCCCGATGCAGAACTTGATCACAGGACCCTGGGATCATGACCTGGGCTGAAGGCAGACGCTTAACCGACTGAGCCACCCAGGCACCCCTCACAGCATGTCTTCTTTAGTGTTTGGCTTCTTTTGCTCAACATTGTATTTGTGGGAGTCATCTATATTGGGATAAGCTACAGTTCTTCCATTTTATTTATTTATTATTTATTTATTTTTAAAAAGATTTTATTTAATGGTCATAAAGAAAGAAAAGAGAGAGAATCAGTGAGTGAAAGAGAGAACACAAGCCAGGGAGAAGAGGCAGAGGGAGAGAGAGAAGCAGACTCCCTCCTGAGCAGGGAGCCAGCTCGGGACTCGAGGATCATGACCTAAGCCAAAGGCAGATGTTTAACCAACTGAGCCACCCAGGCCCCCCTAGTTCTTCTATTTTAATTTTATATAGTATCTCATTTTATGAGCATATATATATACACTATTCAATTATTCATTTCATGTTAGTAGACATCTGAATTATTTCCAGTTTAGGTTAGTAGAAACAAGGCTAATATGAATGTTCTTGAGCATGTCTTCTGGAGCACATATGCATGCATTTCCATTGGCTATAAATCGCTGCACAGGGCTGGCTTCATGGGCATGCAACTTGTCCAGTCCCAGAGGGCCCCGCGCTCACAAGGACCCTGCACTTGGTTTAAGGCTCTGCTGTTACTGTCCTGAAATTCTTAATCATTTGATCTTGAAACTTGGGTTTTGTAATTGAAGTCTGTTGAGATAACGAACATGTGCATAAGCAGAGGAGAAAAGCACGATATGCATGTTCCCAGTGGGTTGTGGCTCCATTTGCATATGACCCAAATTCCACAAACCCGAATTCTGGGGAGTGACTGCTCATGGGGTTCAACAAGACTCAGAACAAGTTTAAGGTAAGTCTGTTGCAGCTACAGACTGAGTAAGTGGGGCACTGCCAGACTTGCGAGGCGGTGCTTTCTTTCAGTGAGAACTTGCATCAGATACAGCAAGGAGGCAGCTTCTTCTAAGAAACACAACTTCCACTTACTAGGCAACCACTTCACTCTGAAAATGCAGACAGGGTGGGAAAAGGAAAGATGGGGCAAACTCTAGTTGCTTTTCCTGTTAGTCTTTCCTTAGTCGTCAGTAGGCCAAAGGTAGAGAATGAGCATATGGAGAAGTGAATAGAAACAGCAGTTAGTTTTGTGCAGTTTCCACTGTTTTGGCAGAATAAAATACATGCGCTTCAACAGGCTGTAAAATACAAGTTGTGAAATTTTGGTGATTACACATACGAGTTAAATGCCCTTATATTTGTGCCTAAAACTGTCATTGCACAGGGGCGCCTGAGTGACTGAGTTGGTGAAGCATCCGACTCTTTAT